AAAAAAAATCATTAAAAAATAAAACATGTTTATTAGGAAGACTGAACATCTCTTGTAAATAGGAGTTTCCTTTAGAAATGTATTTAAATTTTATAACTTTTGATGAATTACGTTTAAAAGCTAATATAATTTTAGCAGATTACCAACAGTCCTATTTCATACCACTTTGTTCGCCTGAGTTTTTAGCAGAATGTCTAAATCTACACCAGAAAATACTAGAAGCTGCTCAAAAGATAAGACTATTTTCCACTCATTTATAAAGTTTCAGTTTTCAAGTAGTGCATTATTTTCTGCTGAGGAGAAAGATAAACTGTTCATACATATTTTGTGTCATTTCCTTCCTATTGCCCATTTGTCTGTCAAAAAATATGAAAGACACACATTAGTTGGCCAAATTTATTCTCAATATTAACACAATGGTTTTTTTTTTTCCAGAATTCATAAGAATATAATGTAATTTATGTGCACTACAGAGTGAGTGAAAATCCTGAACATAATACATTCAGGCCTAAGATCCTGACAATTTCATTGAACTGAAGAAAAAAATTTACTACAATGTGAGAAAAACTTTCCTACATCTACAATGACTGCTATCTGTCAGACAACAAGTACAGTTTTTACACAGTGTTGTCTATGAAGACAGGTCGAGAGAGGTGATTCTCTCCCTCTACTCTGCTCTCGTGAGACCGCACCTGGAGTACTGCATCCAACTCTGGAGTCTTCAGCACAGGAAGGACATGGACCTGTTGGAGACAGTCCAGAGGAGGCCACAATAATGATTAGAGGGCTGGAGCACCTCCCGTATGAGGACAGGCTGAGAGAGTTGGGGTTGTGCAGCCTGGAGAAGAGGCCCAGGGGAGACCTTATAGCAGCCTTCCAGCACTTCAAGGGGGCCTACAGGAGAGATGGGGAAGCACTCTTGATCAGGGAGTGTAGCGACAGGACAAGGGGTAACAGTTTTAAGCTGAAAGAGGGTAGATTTAGACTAGATATTAGGAATAAATTTTTTTCTGTGAGGGTGGTGAGGCACTGGAACAGGTTGCCCAGAGAAGATGTGGATGCCCCCTTAATATATCTGGTTCTTTTGTATAGAACTAGGAGTTGTATTAAACCACGTGCATACTTGATTCTGTGTAACACCTTAATTGCTCTCCTTACCAAACAAAAAATCTTGTGACTTTGCAGAAGAATTTCCCTCACCTCTTCCCACATTTCTGAAGTTGTGCTAAGGGACAGTTAAACTATTTTATTTCAGAAGCTAGGAACCTACATTGCTTTTTGGAGGTAAAAAAAAAGGAGTACACAAAACATGGAGAATTCACATAATAGAGGCAATCTGTTACTTTAAAACATGAGAGAGTCAGAACAATGCTCTCGAACCTACACTGCTTTTTGGAGGTAAAAAAAAAAAAGGAGTACACAAAACATGGAGAATTCACATAATAGAGGCAATCTGTTACTTTAAAACATGAGAGAGTCAGAACAATGCTCTCAGTTATTAGATATGAGTCAGCCTTTGTTACTTAAATTTTTCGCCATAGTTGAAGGGTATGAATGATTTTCTGTGTTTCTCTATATTAGGAATTATAGATGGGTGACAAAAATAGCTTTATGATTGAATGGATCATGTAGTGTTTTGGTCAAGATCCTTGAAAAATCCAATTTCTAGATACATATGCATAATCTCTCACTTCTTCATGAACTAAAAAAAATTCCCCATTATTTACCTTCTTCATGTCTTCTGCCCCAGGAATCTTCTCAGTATTGTCCTGATCTTTCACAGGTTCTCGTTCCAGAAATGTTAACTGGTTTAGGTCTTTTTTAATAGATATTTCTGAGCAACTGAATTCTGTTTTCCAAGCAGTTACATTCTTGAAGTTTTCATTCTCACTTAATAAATCTTGATTTCTTTTTTTAAGCATACTCAGTTCTTTTACAACACTGTCTAATTTGATTCTCAAGTGTCTTGCTTCCTCTCGAGCTTTATTTCTTTCTGCTCTAACTTTGCTCCATTTCTCCCTCCAGTTAGCAGTACAATCTGACCACCAGCGCATGGTCTTCTCCATTTGGGCTGCTCTGGCTTTGACTTCTTCCAGTTCCCGAATTCTTACTGCTTCAAAAATTTCCCAGTCACTGCTGTAATTCATATGCATATATGGATAATGAGATGAATATGGGTAGAAACTTTGAGATGGTAGATCTGAATTACACAGAGGACTACCTGGCTGGCAACCTCCAGCTAATTTATAAGGTTGTCTTGGTTGGGTCCCAAAAACCTGTGGTTCTTCCATTAGTTTCTGAACACAGCCTAAATTCATGTTTTGATTCATAAACTAACTTCACTCCTAAAAAACACAAAGAAAGACAATAATTTAGTTTCCCTCAATTAAGTTATACGAGTAACCTCAAACAGTAGTTTATTTTACATCTACAATAATGAGATAATCTCAGTAATACAGTTGATGTTTTAGAAATGTGCTTCATCAACAAGAAATAGCTATTAAATATATTTTTATGTAATACTTTTTGAGTACAGCATGAACAGACATACCTACTACTAGATTTGGAATTGCTAGCAAAGGAGGTGTCATTAAATAATCATAGTGCTTTTGAAAATTTTTGAGTGTAGAGAAACCAGGAAAAAGATTTCTTCCTTCACGACAAGATTAAATGGAATTAATATATGTTTTAAATGTCTAGTAAGAAGAAAGTATTTGTCTAGAACCACAATCATAGATTCCCTTGCCTTCTCCTTTCTCAAACTGTGGAACTTCATACTAGGCAATACGTACCTTATAATTTGCTTACTTAAGAAATAAATAAATTAAAATAAAAAATACCTGACCTTTGGATTTTCTGTCCGAGAAGTATATTCTTATATTATTTGTGAAAGTGTAGCACTATCCTACTGTGCTATTTGCTTACTTAAGAAATAAATAAATTAAAAGAAAAAATACCTGACCTTTGGATTTTCTGTGTTTCACAAGAAAAATCAAGCATTTTTATAGGGGCTTTATTTCACTGTTTAAATTCCAGAAACTGTCCGATAAGTATATTCTTATATTATTCGTGAAAGTGTAGCACTATCCTACTGTGCTGTGTAGCCTACCTCATGATGATATGACTCTGCTAGTAAATCTTATTGCATTCCTTTTCATTATTTATCTGCTATTACTCAACCAGCCCAGAGGAAAAACAATGTCTCAGAAATTGCTTTCCCACATCTGTGATGAGAAAATGTTGAGGTGGACAGTCTGTACAGACTAGTCGTGTATACCTTCTTGGTTTTCCCACATGAGTGTCTTTAAAAAAAATATATAATCTTGCTATACCAGTAGAAGACTAAGTTGTTTAAAGTGAAAAAATATTGCTCCTATATTCCAACATCCATTTTTAAAAAAGCACGTTTATATGTCACAGCAATTAGTGTTAACACCTGTAGTTGAAATGTAGAAGGCCAATGCAGTAAAAAAAAAAATACTGAAGAGTAGATAGTCTTTCTATTATGATTCAGTTCTGTTACATTTCAGCTGAATAGAAGTTTTTGCAGTTTTTGGTTCCAGTTTCACAACTGTTTTCAACTTTTCAGTGTTTTCCAGGACATTTATTTGCCATTTACTAGAAGCTTCTGGAGAAGTGTTGTAGTCAAGTATGGATATGACAGAAAGAAGGAAAAGGACAGTCAAAGACTCCAACTCCTTTCGTTATCACTGTCTGGTGTAGCACCACCAACCCCAACAAGAACACTACACAGATGTAGAACAGCTGCTGCCAAAGCTTGAACAAGATCAAATATTTTTCTTTTTGCCTAGCCTACTCATAGAAAGTTTTTTAGGGAAAAAAATAGCCCTGTTACCCCATTCTAAATAAAATACATCTCTATATATTGTTTATTATGCAGAGATGAACATGATGTAAAAAGACTTCCCCACAAAAAGAATTAATAGTGTATAGCTAAGACCTTTTTATTAATTCATTTATAAAGCCAAAATGATCCAACTAAAGAAATAAAATGGGGGACAGCCTAGAAAAAAAAGACTATTTGTTATATCTTTTTTAATTGATTTATCAACTTTTAGAATACAGTATAAGCACAATAAGCTTCTTAGTTCACCATTTCTTAAAAATAAGCAGGGTAGCCACTGCTCAGACACACACACATTTGTTTCAACAGAGTACGACAGATGTCACCCAATAAAACAAACTCTGCTCACGCAAAATTTTGATTTCTCCACAAACTTCCAAATTAAACGTAACTCAGGTGAAAAGAGGACATTTCTTATCTGGAAAATAGTCAAAGGAGATTTCTTACTATTGAAGATTCATTTGCCCTTTAATCTTGAAGTAAGATCTTCAGCAAAGAGGATTTTTTTTAACATAATTGCTTAATTTGGAAAGAAAAAAAACCTCCAAACATCAAATTGTAAAGTGTTAAAGACCTGTAAAACCATTCAAGGTCTGGTGGCTTTGTAGAATTATCTTATTTTCTTATCATCTTCTTATCATCTCATTTTTCTTATTAGTGCTTAAAATGTAATTCAAATAAACAGACATTTGTAGAACAGGTTGACCAAACTGATGAACATTCTTGGCAGTTTGTAGGATGAAGTCTTGGGGGAGTGGAGGTAAGGAAAAAAGCTACAACTGCACCACAGAGTAATTCTTCTGTTCAGCAGCTAGAGTAGCTTACTGAAGAAAAACTCTGAGGTCTATGAAGGCACATTTTATTTACATTGGTAAAAACTCATTTGTCATTTATTTGATATCTGACCATGAATAATCGCAAACATTGATGAAGTAGATACAGTAGATTAATAACTAGAAAAACAGACCCTGTTGACAAAAAGCAAGTCAAATAGCAAATCATCAACACATGCTTAAATTTCCCCAGTTGTAAAACAAGGATAATTAAACAGACCTTGTTTTTTGTCTCCCTGTTGACAAAAGCAAGTCAAATAGCAAATCATCAACACATGCTTAAATTTCCCCAGTTGTAAAACAAGGATAATTTACTATTTGAAACAATTAATGAAAAGCACTTCCCAAAGAATGATGCATTGTTATTGCTAGGTGTGCAAATATTTTTCTTATTTTCAAATAGAAAAACAGCACTGAAGGGTCTACACATGCTTCCATAATTGTTGTATTGGAAATACAGCTTTGAAGTATTTTGGTATTTCACTATGTAGAAACGCATGCCAACTTTCTTTGGTCAGGTAGTCTGTTTTCACCCTGCTATATGTAGAAATAATCAGGAGGCTTCATTGCTTGCAGACAGATTGTCTCATTCTGTCCCATGTGCACACTATGCAGGCAATCTACAAGAAAGCCTTAAAGGACAATCCAGGCTCATTAGTCTAACTTCAGCCCCTGGGAAAGTTATGCAGCTAGTCTTCCTGGGGGTTATCACAAGACAAATGAAGCACATGACTGGGGTAAGCCAGCACGGATTCACCAAGGGTGAATTGTGCTTCACAAATCTGATTGCCTTCTATGACAAAGTAACCTGCTCACTTGTTGTGGGGTAAGCTGTGGACATTGTCTACCTGGATTTCTCCAGGCTTTTAATGCAGTTTACCACAGCCTCCTCCTTGAGAAA